TACTTCAACTGTTTGTCCCGCGCGATCGGGTTCGGGTCGCGTTCGGCTGTTTTCGCGAGGTCGGATGGATGTTCCGAGCGCAGTGCGCTTGCAACGATCGATCCTTGCCTGTTTTGTTTGTATAAGTTATGAAATTAAATAGTTTTTGTTGCTATTGGTTTAATATTATGATGTCAAAAAACTAATAAATCTACTTAGGTAACTACTAACTTAGTATCTATTAAGCAAACTTAGTATTGTTGCGAAATATGGATGAGGTACCTGTGTACCGTTCTGAGTCGGAGGAGGAAGAAGAGGGAGCTGGTCCATCGGTACCGGCGAAGAATAATCGTCGTAACAAAAGTTGGGTGTTGATCAAACGGTGCTATAATGTACAAGAAGCAGAGAAATTTGTGAGTAATGAAAAGACTTGGTCAAGAAATTATACTCGGGACAGTGATGAAGGCCAAAAACGTTTCTATCGTTATAACAAGGTAAAATCCAAGGGGCCACAGTGTGATTGTGCGTTGTATTTATTGTTTGTGAACGACTGTAATACTATTCTTATTTTTAAGACCACTTCAGAGCACAACCATGACCAAATTGGTACGCGAAGTGAGTACGGAATTCAGGAAAACGTTAAAAGAGAAATAAATAAGCTGTTTGATTTACGCCTAAAGCCAAAAGCTATAAGAGGCTCTAAACAACATGACAGGGATAAAGGCGCCTTCGAAACGGCAACTTAACAACTACTTATATGACAGAAGGCGCGAGAAGTTCGGAAGAGCTGCAATTTACTTAGGTGAACATGAAAAATGGATTTTCGATCGAACAACTATTCCCGATGATGAAAATGAAGTTTTCGTGTTCAGCTATCACGTGATAGAAGCGGAAGAACCAAGTTTTCGTCTGGCATTGTCAACTAAAAAATTACTCAACATAGTTTGTTCCACGGACATACTGCACATAGACGCCACATACAAACTCATATGGCAAGGGTTCCCCGTTTTAGTTCTTGGTACCACTGATAAGAACCGCAAGTTCCATCCGCTTTGTCTTGGTGTGTCCACGAATGAACGTCAAGAAGATTTTCAAATGATTTTTGATGGCCTTAAAGAAAAGGTTCTGTCTTTATTTGATCACGTGATGCAACCTAAAGTTTTAGTTTGTGACGCTGCTCAGAGTATAAGAAATGCTTTTATCGCAGTTTTTGGTACCACACCAGTTATTCGTATGTGCTGGGATCACGCGAAGAAAAATATGCACCAAAAAGTTCAGAAAAGCGTCAACAATAAAACGAAACAGAAAGAAATCATACAAGACATAGACGCACTACATAATGCTACATCATATGAAGTATTTAATGCTGCATCACAGGCTTTTGTTGAAAAATGGCAGACTCAAACCGAGTTCATTCACTACTTTAAAGAAGAATGGTTAAAGAAACATCCAAATTGGTTTTTAGGCGCAGCGCCGCGTTCACCCGCCACAAATAATGCATTAGAAGCATTCAATCGGAACATAAAAGACCAAAACACCTTACGTGAACGTCTTCCACTTTCACATTTCTTGACCATTGCCACTGAGATGGTTGCTCAGTGGTCTTTACAAAGCTGCAAAGAACCTTTACCTGAAACACCTACTATTGAGCTGAAGGACTGGACCGATGGGTATTGTTGGGCAAGGAAAGATTTAAGAATAAAGATTTTATCATCCAACACAGCATACACTGAATACTTGATCCCAAGTAGTAGCCAAGTAGGAGAGGTATCGTACGGTGAGCAGTGGTTAAACTTTGAAGATTACAAGATGAAACATTTTGCTTTCTGGAAAGTCACAGTGCCTAAAAACGAAACACAAAATGTAGAATGGAGAAAAGGATCCTGCACTTGCCCACAGTTTCATAAATAATACGTTTGTAAACACCTTCTAGGGCTCGCTATTAGATTGAAGCTCGCGACTCCACCTATGGAAGCGAAAGCACTACCTATAGGACAAAAAAGGAAACGGGGTCGTCCTACTAAATCCAGACCTGCTCTTAAAATAAAATGAAGATAATTAAGATACTGAGAACTAACTACCTACCTCCCTATTTAGTTCATAAGTTCAGTTATGTATGACATTTTGTACTACCTATCAAACAATATTTTTATAATGAACTGAATTTTGTTTTATTTTTATCTCTTTTCTCGCTAAGATTATAAAAACAAGGCAATTTGTTGATTAAAAAAAAAGCAGGAAAAAAAATATTGTAGGAAACCAAAATCCACCTGGGTTTAGATTTATCTATATGACGACTGTTCTGAATTTTTAACGCCTGCCCTAGTAGCATGGCCACTAAAACACGATATAATAAAGCGATTTATCGCTTTGAACTTTCAAAATTCCATTGTATTTTGACAGTTCATAGCGATAAATCGCTTTATCGTATCGTGTTTCGATGGTCATGTTATGGGGGCTGAAGTAAGTACTGATATCGAAGCATACCTGTGGTAAGTATATGATAAGTAAAAGATAATATTATTACAAATACATTTTTATATTTTCTATAAGTTTCTGAATAACCACTCAGAATAGTATACTGAAATATTAACGTTATACTGAAATATAACGTTGTAGTTAAAATAGCACCACAGTCTATGAAATATGGAAGGTAATTTATATATTAATTGTAGTTAAGTACAGATAAAAATTACAAAGCATAGTTTTCAGTAAAACCTAATTTAAGCTGGTAGAAAAGTATTATAGCACTAAAGGTTAATATTTAATTTTCGAAGGTTTCAGTATTTCATTTAATCGTTTCGTCATTTTTATTCGGACAAAAGTAGTCGGAAAGTTAGTATTTGAGGCAGTAGATTTCATATTTTGAGTAAGGGCAATTCTTATTTTTTTTGTCGGAGCTTTTATTACTACCCTTCTGGAAACCGGCTTGTTCGGGAGGCTGAAAGTCGTCGAGTCTGCATGCGAGACAATTCGTAATGACTCTCGAAAACAGCACGTGGACGCGGCTCAGAAAGGAAAGCCATGGTAGAGCCATGCTGCAGCTATATTATGGTTGTAGCACGAATGGGTCGGCTCGACCGGGGAAGGACCACGCTCTCACAGAAAACCAGCGTAAAATAGCAACTTAACGCTGCTGTGTTTCGTATGGTGAGTGTAGAGAACCGGAGACCCTTTTTACTGGCAAAGAGGCATTCCATCTTAGTCCTCACGGGTGACAACGCATCTGCATCTTGAGCCTTTATTGAGGATAGATGTAGATGTCTATGGGTCACAGTAACCACTTACCATCAGGTGGACTGTGTGCTCGTTTGTCACCCGATCCTATAAAAAAAAAAAAAAAAAAAAAAAGGAAATCAGTCTGTAGTTTTTCAAGAGAGCGTTGTCGCCTTTTTTGAAGAACAAGACCACCGCACTTCTGCTCCACGCCTCCGGTGTGATGCCACCATGGAGGACGGAATTAAAGAGCCTCTGAAGGACTTCAAGTACCGGTTTTCCACCCGCTTTCAGAAGCTCCGCTGTAATTCCATCCTCGCCTGGGGCCTTGCCGTTTTTAAGATGCTGGAGAGCCATTCTAATCTCGCTCAGACTGACGTTCGGGATATCTTCGGAATAGTGTCGGATAAGACTCGCTCTTGGATCGTTACTCACACTTGCGTGTGGCTCCAACGATGACGTGTACAGCTGCACATAGAACCTCTCAATCTCACTCAAAATCTCAGGTGCCCCGGAAACGTTGCTGCCACACTCGGCTTCAGCTTTGACAGTTGGCTCTTTCTGGCAGACAGATCTCTGGCAAAGACTTTGGAGCCTTGGTTCCGCTCGAACGCTTCTTCAATACAAGCTGTATTGAAGTTGCGTAAGTCCCGCCGCATGCATTTGGAGATCTGTCTGTTCAGTTGCCTGTATGCTGTCAAATCTGTTGAAGAATGTAGCTTCATCTCCCGTCTAATAGCCATAAGATTGAGAGTGTGATCAGAGCGTTTTTGTGTTCTTTTGCGGCGGGTCTTGCAAAACTTAGCTCCGACCGCATGGACAGTTTCCCAACACTTCAACACTTCGATATACCGACAGTCAACTTGGCACCGCTGAAGGGACTGCAGCATCACCCAAATTTCGAGGGAATCAAAACTTTTCTCATAGTCTACATACGCAAGACATCGTCTCCAGTACGGCTATAGGCGGCTTAGAAACGAAATTAGTCTGTAGTTATTAATGTGTAGCCTTTATACGAAAAGAAGACCGACAGTTTCGGGGATCGAACTTTACTCGCGTACTTTGAAATTTTAAGGCGACCACTTATCCACTGAGCTACCGCGGCACCGGAAACGAAATTGGAAATGAAACCGGAAATTTGAATTTATAAAGATTCGGACTTAGCCCATTGACAATTTACAGTGATTCAGATTAAAAGTTATTTAATTTTAAATCTGAATGTAATGGGACTCTGAGATTGCATTTAATTTTAGACTGAATCTAATTTTATACTGGATGTGGTCATTTAGTGTAATATAAATATCATATTTTATAATATTAGGCCGTGTAGTATCCACTACCCCATATCATCCCGAGAGTGTCGTAAAAGGCGACAGAGGGAATAAAATAAGATTGGCAGCGGCGTCTTCCTAATAACGACTAAAAATAAAAAAACTGTGGTTGCCAAGCGTGGTAATTATCGTAAATACCCCCCCATGTGGGAATATATGGGGGAGGCATATGTTCAGCAGTCGACCTTAACAGGCTGTAACGGTAACGGTAAATATAATACACATTTAACAAATGGGACAATGACCCCTTTATACTTAAAAAAATTACGAAGCTATACCTGGCAAGAAGCAAAGGAATGGAAGAGGGAAACTCGATTTGCCGATCCCAAACAACTTCTCATAGACAGATAATGAGAAGATGTGTATATATAAAAATATACATGAAACAAAAAGCAGCCAAGTTGATTATTTTCAATGAATTCTATTAAAGTATGTTACATAAGAGGTATACGAGGAATCAGAGGTAATAGTTACAGTTGAAGTGCACGGTCGCGGCGACGAAGGCCGGCACGCTGTACTTGTTGTAGAGCGGCAGCGAGAGCGGCGCGCGGGTGGCGGCGCGCAGCAGCGCCGTGTCGCCGTACGTCACCAGCCCGCTCCAGCGCACGCACTCGCCGCTGCTGCACCCGAACAGCTTCACCTGGAACCGACCACACCGCCGAATCTGAGATACTACGCACGCACAATGACAATACGACAATATGATCTTACGTACTAGAGCATAATGGGTCGGTTTACATGGGGTAGAACCCAGCTTTCACAGCATTCCAGCGTGAAACAGCAGAGCAATGCTGTTGTGTTTCGTACGGTAAGTGTAAAGAACCGGAGACCCTTTTTGCTGGTAACGAGTCCTTCTGTCTTAGTTAGTTCTCAGGGGTGGCAACGCGTCTGCATTTTGATCTACAGCATCCACTTACCATCAGGTGGACTGTGTGCTCGCTTGCTACTCTTATAATATAAAATAAAAATAGGATTGGCAAACAGACGTTTCACTTCGTATTTAATACTAACTTAAAGGTTATTGTAAACATAACATTGAACTAAAATATATTTTGTATTTAAAATAAAATTGAAATGACGCGTGAACTTACAGTCCACGTGATGTTGTAAGTAAAAGAAGTTACTGAAGTGAGAAGACCACACCTCACAGCATCTTAACGATATTCTATCCAAGCTGCTGCAGACGCAAAATCAAAAATATGAAAGATTGCTCGTACTGTCCATTTACCCGTTCTTCCGTGCATTGCATATTTTTCAATAATCCGATCTAATAGATCAATGCCTCCCATTTATGTATTTTTATTGCCGCCGGTTGTGGAATATCAAGATATTGGCGATCTTTCTTGTTTCAGCGACGGCACGTTCCAAGAGGTTCAACGGCAATTTCTGTTGATGCTACATGAATTGGCTTGCTATCGTTCCACTCCCGCATCTTTTCGTCTTGCCTCACCACACAACCACAACTTCCTCTACCGTTCTTTTGTAAAGTCCTGTCGGTTTTCATTAAAACCTTCTTTTTCTTCTGTTGCTGCTTAGAATGAACATATCCCGGTACGAGGTTTCTCATGAGAGTGCCAGTACATTTGATGTTTCTTTCTGTTACATTTTCTAACAGGGTAATGGAAGTTAAATAGCCATCTATATAGATTGATGTTTTTTGTGGTAAGGTATCGACCAGTTTTAATATAACGCGTCCTCCTAGATCGAGTTTCTGGCATTGGATGCAAGGCTGATTCAACAATTCAAATACCTAGACCCTGGTACAAGCATAAACCTAAAGGCAGACCATTTGGATTAGTCATCAAAAATACTTTAATCCCTTCGGGATTTGGTTTCCCCTTAACCTGCTTCATCTAACATTTCTCTGTAAAAGGTATCATTTGTTCGTCTATACACATTTGTCTTTCATTTTCTATGCAAGCTCTCTCAATTTCAGACACTACAGGGCGAATTTTCCAGAATCGATTAACATCTTTCATTGCTGGAGACACTGTGATCTTCCACGATTTTCAGGATTGCTCTGATGCTGAAGTATCTATTACGAGTGATCGTCTCTGCTACGAGTTTTACTCGTGTTTCTGCGGTCCAAAACATTCAAATCCGAGGAAGACCAAGTATTCCTATTGCCATAGCGCAGCCGATGAAAGATCGTATTCCTTGAGGCGTCGTATTCAGAGACTTGCCAGTTCGTTCTTTAATGGATGTGTTCGTAATTCGTATAGGTCGACATTATGTCAAAAAAGCGGGGGTGAAGATATTTCGAAAAAAATTCATAAGAATTTAAAAGTGAGGGTGGATTTTCCGTGTCATTATAATTACTGACTTTACTATAAAAGTGATTCCTTGATGATTAAGAGATAAAACCTCTATGATTTTTGTAAGATTTAAAGACGCAAAACTACACCTACTTCTCGCTGTCGACGTTTGTTGCGTAATGGCGGGCCCTAAACTTATTATTCGTGTGAATGTGTGCGTGACCCCTTGTACGTACAAGCGAGCTGACTTATTTTCGGTGCTTCGCTGGGTTGTATAGCGAGATTCAGTCCGCCTTTTTTATACGTCCATGAGGTAAAAGCTCTTTGTCAGACTACAGACTCATTTATTCACATTTGATTGCTGATGGGGATACAGTACCTAAGCTCGTATCAGAAATATCCGAACTTATGATAATATTGCAATTGATGAAATCTCGAGAGCAGATTTTTTTTATTAAAAAGAGCACTAGTTTATATTGTGCAAATTCGCTATCGCTATAAACTAGAAAAAAAAAGTTGACAGGTTAATGTTTTGCCAGATCAAAAAATTAATCTTATTTGTAGTTTTCCATTAAGTCTAATATATTTAATTTTCTGTTGAAAAAAGGTAGTAATCGGGGAATAATAAATGTTTTCTTGCTATCCTGTAATTTTTATGAAAAATTGAGGTTCACCCCTTTGCGGCGTTAACGACGAGTTGTTCAAAACAGCAACGGTGAATGGTAGCCGTCGCAACATGGCTCGTGTGTAGAGGCGCATTGTCGTACAAAAGTAGCACGCATTTTGTAAGCTTTCCTCGCCTTTTTCTTTAATAGCTTCTTTTAAATAATCTAGTAAAGAAGGATCTGTATACCAAAAAATCGTCCCCATGATCTTTCCGGCCGATTGAGACTGCTTACACTTCTTATAAGGGGGTGTGCCTTTTTTGTGCCACTGCATTGACTCTTGCTTTGACTCAGGTTCATAATGGTGAACTCAAGTTTCATTGCTAGTTACAATTCCTCCCTTTGTTCTCCACAGCGGTCCAAAAACTCGCGACAACTTTCAACGAGCTCGTGTTTTTAATGCGCAGAAATCATTGGCGGACTAAACCTAGGCATGACTAAAATCTGTGCAAGATGGGTTGCACAGATTTTAGTCATGCCTACGTGTTGATGTAGGGTGTTTAAAATCGTTGTTTCTGATACTCCAACGAATGCTGCAAGCTGTTTCTTCTTTAGTTGGGCATCTTCCGATACAAGTTTTTCAACTTTTTCGATTATTTCTCGGTCCTTCCAGGTCGGGGGTCGTCTTCAATGGAGTCCCTCACTTGTTTGAAAAAGGCGTACCATTTATAAATTATGGTTTTCCCAGGAGAAAAAAAAATAAAAAATAATTATCCCCTAATCTGTCCCCGCTAATTTGAGAGATCCTAAAAACGCATTACAGAAGAATGGTATGCAATCTAGAAGCAGTTCGATGAGCTAGAAGGGGCAATACTAAATACTGATTTAAGTACTCGTTATAGTTAGTATTTCCTAAGCATTTATGAAAAAAAATTATAGTATGTTAAGTACAAAAATATCTGTGTTCAGTACAAAAATGTTTCATGTAAAATTATTGTTTTTTTTTTTTCTTAATTTGGTTATTATTTATCATTTAATAGTTTGTTGTTTTGACTTTTGCAATTTTAAATTAATAAGCAAACTCTAAATTAATAAACTTTATGTATAAAGCAAAATCTCATGGGCATTTGCGACAATTCTTTTTTTGTATAAATTTGTCCACGAGTGTATCTTAATCGAGAATATATGTAGATGTCTATATGCCACAGTACCCACTTACTATCAGGTGGACAGTAATTGCTCGGTTATCACCCATATTCTGAAAAAAAAAATCATACCTTCCTAGAGAAATCGCTGTTTTTGTCATACACCAAATGTAAAGCAGCAACATGCGGAGCAGTGGAGCTGGGTGCAAAGACTATTGGCAGCGATCGGCAGTCTTGAGGTCCAAAGGCAACACAGTAAATTCCTCTGGACTCAACCCCAGGTAGGTCTATGGAAAACCCTTCGCCGACTATCTGACATCGTATTTGAATCTTTTTATTTGTTGAATTTCTCAAACTAAGCTCCTTTCTACCGGCCCGTACCCAAGACATAGTGATATAGTTTGTTTTGATTGGGAAAGTTGCAGGTTTTTCTGTTCCACCGGTAATGTCTATGGTATTCTTTTTACCGGTAACAACATCCTCCAGTATTAATATGCTGCAAATAAAAATTGTGGAATATTATTTTACACATGTTAATATTCATCTTAAGAGGATGAACGCGATTCGCATTGACAACTTTATGTTTTAGGGTTTTTTCAAGGGCGATGCCGTAACGTTGTTAGCAAATTATTTGCAGAAAATTACGAGTTTCGAAAAATAATGTCTATTTAGTGAACTGCAGAGCAAAATCATTCACGTTTTTTTTTTTTCAAGAGCGAAGACAATCTCTCCCCATTTAATGTCTTTTTATCGTATGTTTGAATATAAACATAAGTGAAGGAAATAATCGTGAGAAAACTTGATGTCTGAGAGATTAAAACAAAACTCGTTACATAAAATTATACATTCACATTGACAGCGCCTTTATGTCGTAGCAGTCTAAGCGGTTTTTAGCAGACTTCAAAAAAGGGACGTTCTCGATTCGACTAAGTTTTTTTGCGTTGTTACTCGATATTATATAAATTATAAAACACAAAATTAAATCATAACAAATAATAGTATCAAAATGATTCGTGCTAGTTGCTTAGCGCTTGCGCAGTCACGCACACAAAGAGAACATTTTAGTGTGCGTCAATATTACGCCGTTGTAGAGCTATCGCGTAGATATTGACTTGCGCATATTTGAATACACGCTCTTAATCATTATAGTTAAAATTACGTTTTCAGTTGTAATGCACTTTTTTTTAAATATTACTCATTTTAGGTCTACTAGCTCTTGTAAGCATAATGTGTTAAAAAGTAAAAAAAAGAATATAGGTACAGCCTTATTTATGAGAGGTATTTTCTCACCCCCTATACCCCTGCTTCCATCTGAGAAGCGGAATAACTGCTTCATGTTGAATAATTAATTTTCATTCATGAAATATTATTGAATGATAATGAATGAATGAATAATATAGAATCCGTTGTACCTTAAGAGCTAAGCATTCACCGTAAATTTCACAGTACACGAACAACTCGGGTTCGATACCCGCCGGCACTGATGAAATTGCTAATTTCAATTTTAAGAACTGAGTAATCATGTGCTAGGAGGTTAAGAAAAACATCGTAAAGAAACCTGCATGTCTGAGTTAGTAAAACAAATAAGTCATGTGAAGTCCGACAACACGTATTGGGTAATCGCGATTTCTAATGCTCATTTACTACTTGGTGTTCGTGAAAAAGACAACATATAAAGGAAATCCGCTAATGCGATGGAACTTTTTTACTCCATTACCCTTTTAAAAATGTGAGAAAGCTTAAGATGTACCTTAGCCTGTTACAAATTGCTTCTAAAAAAATATCCGTATTCTCTTTTTTTGTATTAAGTAACTATGTTTTTAACATCATCATCAAAACGACAATAACACAAAATAATAAAGGATGTGAACACTAAAGCTGCCACAAAACAAACTATCATCATAGATAAGAATGTATTTATTTGACATTGCTTTTTAACCAGTATTTAATTAAGTTTTAACCTTAGATAAGTTGCTTTCTAGTTTTACCATAACGTAAATGGCGCTATTATTTATTACGACAGACGCAAACTGCTTGCAATATCCAGAAGATGTTAGTTACCCTAGATGAGAGCTTAGGTGAGAGAATAATGGTACTACATACTATTTTTGCACTTCTGTGCGTTGTAATATTATTCTCTCTTGCCGACATTTTAATAGCCTACATAATTATTATTAATTATTTATTCCGCCGTTACCTAGGGCTTTCAACAAAGAATACAGTATGTATAGTACCTTTCGTTATTTATTTAATTTACAATTGTTTTACTCTAATCTAATGTGTCTTATTTTTTTAACCTTTTGCAATTTACTAGTACGTCGCGTCCCTTGCCTAAAACGCTCTGTACTGTGTACGTAACCTAAAGTTCCGCGCAATTAGAAGCCTGGCAAAGCAAAAAAGAACAAAATGTACATTAAACTTACGCTTCGTTCACCTCATCTTGTGACCCTGTGTATAAAATGTTCAATTCCTTTTCGCCTCCTGGACATATTTCGAACTTTTGTGGTGATATTTGAAACGGCACTATATTCTCATTCGCAATTGTTTTTAATTTAACCATCCAACATCCTGATATGGGACCAGAGTTTCTCAAAATTATTGTTGTGGGTTCTAGAAAGTAAAATAAAAAGATTAAGATCTTGAAAAGATTCCTCAGAATATTTTATAAATAAATAATGAATATTTCTAATATTCACCATTAGCAATACAAAGCTTGTTTGTAGATATTTCAACCACCAGATTGGCTGAACCAACAACACCTAACAGGTCTATCTTCTTCAATACAGATTTTACACCCATTAGGTTTACATTCAGTGCACCCTTACAAGTGATTTTATTTTCTGCTGCAAAATAATGTTTTATTAATTGATAAATAAGTTATATATAAGTTAACATCATTATTTACAAAACATTATATAAGACGACTCACTTAGATCTAATTCAGTTAGCTTAGGTGCTGTAAATGTGATGGAGACTTTAATTGCATTACCACTAGTAAGTCTACACAACTGTTTGTTCAAAACCTTTCCCTTTGACTTTCCAATCTTATGATGATCTTCGTCAGTAAAGTTCTGACGGTCCATCAAAGCCTTGCTGACATCATTCTTGCGAATTTCTTGAACATTCCTTATTGTGAACATACTGTCGCTTTCTATGACAGATAAATCTAATTGCAAATCAACAGGGCAGTCACTTATGATAACAAAGGACTTTGTGTAGGTGGAGTTTTCTTGTATAGGAGGAAATAATAATTTATTCATGCCATCGCAGGAAAGGGCCTGAATTGTGGGCATTTTAAAGTTCACCTCCAATTCGCCATTTTGTTCAATGTCGCCGTCTATAGACGCATCTTTCAGTAACAAAGTAAATAATAGGGTTGTGTTTATTTCAATATTAGATGTAATGTACAATGTGAATTGTTCCGTTTTCCCTGGTGAGAGTAGCAAAGGTTGCCGTGGTAGTTCGATAGCTAGATCTCTCCCTTCGTTGGGTAAATTATTGAACTGAAATTTGGCCGTTAGCCAACTGTCGGCAAGCGTCGTGATTGTTATTGTAACAGAACTGCTTACCCCTGAAATGAAAAAAAATGTGGATAATCACAAAATCACGGTTTTACTAGCAATTAGCCGCGTCCACACCGACCGAGCACGGCTCTTAACGCAGCCTCAGACTTCCTGCTTTTCAAATTTGGCAAGCCTTGGTACCCGAGGCAAATTTGAAACGTTACGCGCAGGCCTCACAATCCAAAGTGAGCCAGTTTGAGCATTTAGTTTCTCTCGAGTATACTATGATGGAGAATCACGTATTTTTAACCACTACGGCCTTAATGTTGTCTGGTTATTTAATAATAAAAAAAGAAGACGATAAGTCTGGATCAAGAAAATATACGAAAAAACTTTACTTTCTTCCTCTAGTTTATTTTTATGTGATCGGAATCTTTCGATTTTCACAAAATTCTAAAATTTTCATACAACTGAATTAAACGAATATTATCTTTTTTTATCCATTTTTTTATTCTGACTCGCGAGCTTCGTCACAACCGCGAGCTGCTCAGACTGAGGCACCTTGCAGCCGAGCACCGAGCACCGACATAAACCGACAAAATAAGGCTCGCAGTCGAGCGGCGCTCCGCCGAGGCAATAGAACCCGAGGCAGCCCGAGCCACGTCAACCGGCCGAGGCATTGCCGTGCTCAATCGGTGTGGACACGGCTTTTAATGCACCTCCATTTGTTAATCCTGAGATGATTAGACGTTATTACATAACGCCAACATTAATAAAAATTATAAATAATATTTAATTATAAATACGCCATATTTCCGTTGATGAAAAACATAAAATTAGTAAAACACTTACCAACAAATCCATTAACATTTGGTGATCTGATCTGCACCCATTGTTCTGAGAAAATATCATTTATTAATAATTTATAATTATAAATAAATAAATTTAGTATTAATATTGCTGAAACCTTTACCATGTTAGTGGATAAAATATCAAACGCTGATGTATGAAAAAGTCATTCAAGTTCAAGAAGTACATTTTATATCAAAAAAATTGTGAATATTCTACATTTGTATTTCAAATAAATATTATATCACTTTTCCTTTATTTCCTAAAGCCTATATATTCAAAATAAATGGAATTGAAACTTCACTGGAAATGTTAATTACCTAATTATGTTTAAAATATACCGCAACAAATACAACAGATTTATTTAAAACCAGCTGTGACAGCGACTATAATCGCTTACTAAAACATTTTCTATTATGTTCCAAGCAGAATAAATAGGAATATTTGGTTTGGAGCTTTATTATTTAAGGGGCCAATCGTAATTTAATAAACCACATCACTGTTTTAAACCAAACAAATAGTAATGCTTAAAATTCATCCTAAAAATAAAGTCCAACAACAAACAACAAAACAATGTGCCCCAAATACCAAGTTCTTTACAATAGTATATAATAAATACTATAAAAACACTTGGAATATTGTGAACATGCACCAAGAAAGTACGAAAAAGTAAGTTATATAGGGATTAAGAATTAGTGTTATTTATAAATAGCTTCCTCCTAAAATAGACAATGTGATGGTATATATTTATTCTTATTTAACTTCGACCTCCTAGTAACACTATGCTGTAAGTTTTATCCAAATCTGTTGTTAGGTTTTTGCAATATGTAATGTGAGTTTAGATAGAAAGACACAGACAACTATTCCAAAAATGTTGTATTTTGCATTTCTTTCTTGCAATGTTTGTCTCATAATATTCCAGTTAAAATTTCCAAAAATATTCAATGTACAGAAAAAGTAAAAGTTTTATTATTAGTATAACAATATAAACAATATTTAAATTTTTTCAAGATATTGCCTAAATTTTATATTTAGAATTGCCTTATAATACTTGGATGACCCTTTTACAATATAAGTGTTTTATTACAATAAAGTAATGTAAAATGAAGTTAATTGTAATTGTATTAGTAACATTAAAACTATATTCCTATGATTGAAGCAATTTGAAGCGAGGCCCACAAACCTTTAGCCAAGCTCTCCTGTTTCAAATGTTTCTGCTGTAATACCTCTTGCCAATCTACTGACTTATCTAACTCTTTATACTCAACATTTGGGGAAGGAATGTGTGTCAAGTTAACCTCGCCTGAAAATTTTACTACATATTACATAATTACATAAATATAAATAAAAACAAGGTTTAGTGCAGTCATATGAAATCTGTAGACACATGTTTTGAAATAGTGGTATAAAAATGTATGTTAAAAAAGTACTTTCTTCGTGTATGTTTTTGAATCACACCACCCACAATGTAATTTGTTGTGTAAACATTAAAAACATGTCTTCGATGTCCTTTTTCTACTCAGCTTGTATAGTACTGAAATTTTAAAATTTGATTTGCGACACTCCACAAGATTATACTATAGTAATTCAAAATAAGCTACAGGAAGAGCTAATATTTAATAATTTTTTTTATAGAAGAGTAGGTAAATAGGATACGGTTCTGATAATATGTGATGAGGTAAGTGATTACTGTTGCCCATGAACATCTGCAAAACCAGAGGAATTGCAAATGCGTTGCTGGCTTTTTTAAAATGAGTAGGCTCTTTCCGTAAGTCCCTAAGTAATTTTGGTTTTTTTTTTTTATAGAAGTGGGCAAACGAGGATGCGGCTTACCTGATGGTAAGTGACTACCGCCGCAAATGAACAACCGTAACACCAGAGAAATTGCAGGTGCGTGGCCGACCTTTTAGAAAGGTGTAAGCTCTTTTCTTGAAGGTCCCCAAGTCGTATCGGTCCGGAAAAATCGCTGGTGGTAAATAATTCTACAGAGAAGTTGTACGAGGAATAAAACTCCTAGTAAAACGCACAGTGGTGGACCGCCAAACATCCAGATGGTGAGGATCGTATCGTGAATTTTGACGCGATGTGCGTTCGTGAAATTTGGCGGCTAGAATTAATCCTCAGAGCACTCCCTGTGGTAGATTCGATATCAAATGCAAAGGGATGCAACATTCCTACGCAGCGCCATTGAATCGAGCCGATCAGAAAGAACTCGGTCGTCGACGATTCATACCGCTCTGCGCTGGATGCGGTCAAGAGGAAGGAGCTGGCACTGGGGTGCCCGGGCTCAGAAATGAGAACAGTATTCCATGTGAGGCCGAACTTGCGCTGTGTAAAGTTGCAAGCGAGGTGCCGGCATGAAATACTGTCTCGCTCTGCTGAGCACACCAAGCTTTTTAGAGGCCAATTTGGCCTTTCCTTCCAAGTGACTACGATACTGCACACTATTTGATATGACGACGCCGAAGATTCCGATGCTAGCTGAGGCAGCAAGGGGAGATACGACAAAGGGGTTCTTTTTAGCGGTAAGCGCATAAACTTGTGTCTTCTTGGGATTGAACTGGACTAGATTTGGTCACCCCCAATCCGAGACTTAGTTCAACAAAGACTCGACTTCAGACAAAAGTTTGTCCCGGCACTCGGCGACTTTTTCCCGAGAAATATTGGCACGGCCGGTGAATAAGGCTTCACTAATGCTGTCGTCTGCATAGCAATTAATGTTACCAGTTTGCAACATATCATTGATATGCAAAAGAAACAGCGTTGCTGATAGCACCCTTGTGGAACACCAGCGTTAGTAGGCTTGTAATCAGAGCATGCACCGTCTACTACGACCTTGATGCTCCAATCAGTAAGGAAACTGGTGATCATATTGCACAGTTTCTCAGGAAGTCCATAGGAGGGGAGCTTCGAAAGAAGCGCTTTATGCCAGACCCGATCGAAGGCCTTCGCTATGTCCACACTAACGGCCAATGCCTCCCACTTGGACTCGTACTGCCTCTGCCCAACTATGAGTCAGGTAGACCAGAAGATCACCAGCTGATCGACCCCGACGAAAACCGTATTGGCGGTCACTAATCAGCTGGTGATGCTCAAGGTACCGCATGAGCTAGCAGTTTATAACGGATTCCATTATTTTGGGGAACAAGGAGGTGATGGCATTAGGCCTGTAGTTAGACGGGTGTGAGCGGTCGCCTTTTTTAGGGATCGGGTGGACAAAAGCCGTCATCCATGTTTTCGGGACTACGCCTAGGGAGTAGGAGTACCGGAAAAGACGCGTTAGAACCGGTGCCAACTCCGAAGCACATGTCCTCAGCACAATTGGGGGGATTCAGTCAGACCCATATTACGACATAGCCGAGGAATTGAGGATTGACCACTAAACAGTTTTGACCCATTTGAAAAAGTTTGGCTATACAATAAAAGCTCGATATTTGGGTACCACACGAGCTCACTGAAAGAAACCTAATGAATCGTGTACTCATTTGCGATTCTCTATTGAAACGTAATGAAACCGAACCATAGATCACCTACGACAAAAACGTGCGAAAACGATCATGGTCAAAGAATAGTCAAGTTCCACAGACTAGTGAAATCCATATTAACACGCAATAAGGTGCTGCTGTGTGTATGGTGGGGTTGGAAGGACATCGTTTATTATGAGATTTTTACCACCGGGAATAAACATTGATTTGAATCACTACTGCCAATGAAACTCAAGCAAGAAATTAAGAAGAACGGCCGGTATTGATCAACAGAAAAGAAGTGGACTTTCGTCATGATAACACCAGACCATACACATATTTGGCCACTCAGCAAAACTTGAGACAGCTTGGTTGGGAAGTGTTAATGCACCCACAATAAAGTCCTGACCTTGCATTCTCAGATTTTCGCCTGTTTCGGTCCCTTTAGAATTCTTTGGGTAGTGTTCGGTTAACAACAAGAGAGGTCTGTCAAAACTACTTGGCGCATTTTTTGAAGAAAAATCACAAGATGTACAGCAACGGGTTTATGTCACTACCTACAAGATAGCAACAAGTTATCGAACAAAATAACACATATATATTATAATTAAATGTAGTTAAACTTTGATAAAAAAAAATCGAATTTGTACATATAATATCCGAAGAAAGTTTTCCCCCAACCTAATATGAATGATGAAGTGATAACCTATGCAAGCTACATAAAATATTATGTGCTCATATAACCAAAGATAGGCAAAGGAAGGGCAAAGTGGCGCTTTTTAGAAAAAGTTATTGCAGGCTCATGTTGATGGTGGGATCTATAATATCTATAACTGATATTCATTGCTAGAGAAATATCATGTGTTTATTGATTTCATACCACTTTTCTATACTAAAGCCATATATTTACTAAATACTAAAAATTATGCCATTTAGATTTTTAATACCTTTGCTGTTTTGTAGTGGACTATCATTAGATTTAAAACTAGTAAAATTTTCTTGCACGGTGCTCAAAGTAGATTGACTTTTACTTGACGGAGATTTGGATCTGCCAGCTCCAGTTTTATTTTCTATATTGTTACATTCATTTTTGCTTATCGAGTTTCGAGTGATGATGACGGCCGGGATGTCCCTTTTCTCCTGACTTATCTTCAACTTATCAAAGGAAATCACCGTGTTGATTGTACCAGCGGAGCTAGCCATATCCATTTGTTTGGTATCCTTTAAATTGGTTACTGCAACTTCGTCGTTATTGTACCTATTGTTTTGAACATTCATATGTAATTCTGTGAGAGGCTGCTTCTTGTTTGTCTGTTTTTTCTGATTATTCAACTGAAGCATTCCAGTTACGCTTACATTTGATTGTTTGCCTGAAATTGTAAGGATATATTTTAACTAATAATAAAATATCAAATTTTTAAAAGATCATCAAATTTTTGGAGGACGTAAATTAGTCAATTAATCAAAAATTAAGAGGCTACTATTATCTGAAAACATGCAAAAGCATCTAGTCCTTAATAAAATCAAGGTAATTTTTAACTATTTCAAAGTAATACCTAGATAGTCTGCAATCTTAGAAATACTGAGAGAGCTTTCATTTTCATTGTCAACAGAAGCACCAGATTCTTCTGTTGGTATCTGAAAATGTGATTGGTGAGCTCTTTTTAAAAATTGGTCCATGTTAAGGGATTGATAAAATCTTTGCTGCAACAAGTTCTGGTCAATTCTATTATGCATGTCTTTTTGTACCGCATATAATTTGCTTGCTTGATTTTTATTTGAATAAGGTTTCTTAAAATGTTGTTCAATGTCAACATTACAACTGTTTACAGATATTTCTGGAATGGTGTAATTGCAATGCATATTTGTTTGATTAGTGTGGTTCATGTTAAATATTGAGTCCTTCGTTGGTACCGCCTTATCAAGGTTGGCGCCTCGTGATTGCCTAACTGGAATGCAATCTAAAGACTGGTCTATTTTGTATGTATTATTAATTTCATTTCCCGCATTTGTTTCTTTTGATGACGCTGATAACGAAACTGAAAGCATGATAAATAAACATGATTAATTTTAAGAATTCTAGATATTAAATAGACACGTCTAAAAAGACGGCCGGCGCCAGTAAATGCAGTATAAAATTCAGTAAGGGCTGATTTTCAATCCTCTGATAAAATAAAATACATAGAATAAAATACAAAATAAACTAATTAACAATTACAACTGTTTTTTTTTTTAATTTATTTATTATTAAAAGTAAAAAATTTGGTTTTTAATATACATATTCCCGCAAAACTGCTAACGCAGTTTATCTGCAGGAACATTTGAGTCTCATTTACATAATAATGTTAAAGTTAAGCACTAAGACTAGCCAATAAGTATTGCTTTAATTTGTTTTTTACTGGTTCACGTCGAATATCCTCAGGCAGTGTATTGAGAAAGTACTGTAGACGTTTCTTTAAATTTCTGTCCCCATAGTAATTACGAGGGCTGCACTAAAAGTATCGGGAATGGAATATTTCCACTGTTCCTGTCATATTAAATTTTTTTTAATTGAAAAGTCCTTGGTTTTAAAAATCGAATACCATTTATTAATTAAAAAAAAGATTCTCGGTCTTGTCACAAGGTTTTGTCAAACTTGTTTAGTCATTGAGAAAATGGAATTGACTCGAGAAAATTCAAGAGCGATGATTTATTATGACTTTCTAAGTGGTTTAACACAAAAACAATGTGTTGACTGGATGATTTCTGCATTTTCATGTGATGAAGCCCCATCTAAAACCACAATTTATCGCTGGTTTGGTGAATTTCAACGTGGACGTGTCAAGCTCAGTGATGATCCCCGTCAAGGTTGTCCAAAAACTGCAGTCACCCAAGAAAACGTTGATGCTGTGCGTAAGCTGATTGGGGAAGTTCGATATGTGACATACCGCGAAATTCAGGCAACTTTAGGCATTGGCATGAGTCAAATACAAATAATCTTGCATGAACAATTAGGTGTAAAAAAGTTGTTTTCCCGATGGACCGCATTCGCTCTGTGAAGAGCAAAAAGCGGCTCGCGTTACTTGGTGCGTCAGAACTCTCGAAAGATTCCACACAGGATCCTCAAATGCTGTATACAACATCGTATCAGCTGACGAATCCTGGATATATGCGTACGAACCCGAAAAAAAAACCAGTCACGAGTTTGGGTGTTCGAAAATGAGTTAAAGCCAACAAAAATTGTTCGTTCACGGAGTGTTGCAAAAAAAATGGTGGCCACGTTTGTCTCCAAAACCGGCCATGTTACGACTATTCCTCTTGAGGACTGATTCCTCAAATTTTTTTATTTTCTAAATATTAATTAATTTCATCAGTGAATTTTGATAATAAAGTATTAGTGTTTTTGCCCCTCTGAAAACCGTGCTAACATTCATTTAATATGTTTTTTTTTTTTCAAATAAAACACAAGTTGATTTGTTACGCATTTCTCGATAATTTTGTCAATACTTGATAATATAGCAATTGGTCTATAGTTTGAAAAAACTTTTCGATCAGCCTTCTTATGGACTGGCTTCTTTTAATTTATTCGGAAATCTATGATGCTTTACCGACATGTTAACTATATTAGCTATGACAGGACTTACTTTGTCAACAAATAACTTTAAGTCTGACATCCGTACGAGATCAGTTCCCGGCGATTTATTTTTGTCTAATTGATTAATCACACATTTAACTTCTCCATTACTGACCGGTTGCCATTTTATACATACATTGGGTCTATCAACGTAATTGTCCCTTACTAACTATTTTTCTGTACATGTGTGCCTTATAAGGTCGACTTCACTTAAAAAGTTATCAGCAAACTTATCACAAATTTCTTTTACATTGCCTTGGTTTGCCATATTAGAAAGTATTAAGTCGTCTAGTGATTTTCTATCATTACCCAATAAACTATTTATCTTATCCCATAATTTCCATATATTTTTGTTACAGTCTAGTATACTCTGTTTATCATATTCCATCTTACATTTAAAAATTGCCTTACTACATTTATTCCTATATTTAGTATAATTTAATCTTTTTATCATATTTTTTTGGTTCATTGCACCATATAACAAATAACCTATCTCTTTTAAAAATCATTCGTTTTAAGTTTTCACTTATCCATCCTTTATTTCTAACTTTTATTTACGCCAACTGTTTGCGATTTGTAGCATTCATTATATATATTAGTAAAAATACTAGTAAGCTTCGTACAACTCAACAGGACACTTAATGTTTAATAAATCATCAAAATTTGTTAATAGTAATTTTTCTCTAACTAAACGATTATACAGAACGCACTTATTGACAGAGCGCATTGGTGGCATACGACTATCAGAGTGGGTGACATGACTCACGGAAGGAGCGCGTTTCCTTTGTATCGCTGCCGTGATATAGTAGTCGTCAGATACCTTATTTTTTTTTTATAGGATCGAGTGACAAACGAGCACACAGTCCACCCGATGGTAAGTGGTTGCTGTGGCCCATAGACATTTACATTTATCCGCAATAAAGAATCAAAATGCAGATGCGTTGTCACTCGTGAGGACAACCCTTATGTTTTATTACAGCTGATTCAATTAATGATAAGGGTGCCCTTATATAAATGTGGACCAAATACGATTCTACATTGTTACCCATGACTATTTCCCTTCGAGTTACGTCACATATGCACCTAGCAAAACCATATTCCGCCATTATATTTTCATACAATTTAACATATTTATCTTGATATTTTAAAAGGTCGATATTTATGTCACCACAGATTATTGCTTTGATTGCTTAGGTAATTTGCCCAATAGATTTCTTAATTCAACAAAAAATTCTCGAATTCTGTCTTGGTAGCGAAATCGAGGAGGCCTATAAATAGAAATTAAATAAATATGCTGCCCACCAACGTTGAGTGTACTACTCGCGAGCTCAGCAGTTTCGCTTACACAGTGAGCTCAACCCGCGAATACACAAGTACACCCCCCCCCCCCCCCCGCCGCCGCTGCGTCCTTGTCGAGTATAAATATTAACTTTGAATCCAGGAATTCTGTACAAAGATGATACAGAATAATTTATGTTTGGTTCAGTTATCACTATGACATCCAATTGGCTCAAATCACTACCGAGAGTAACTAGAAATTCATTGAAATGTTTTTTAAGGATTGAATATTTACATGTAATAAACATAAGTCTTTGATATTGTGCACTTGTTGCACCCACGTATTTAAGCTATCAAGATACGCATAACTTACAGATTCATTGTGTAATATGGAGTCTATATTGCTTATGTCCGCAAACTTTATATGAAAAATAAACACTATAATCACTGTAGTTAGGAAAATTTACACTTTTTTGTTGAGTAGATCACAAATATCACTTTCAGCTCGCACGCATATTGCTTTTTCACCTTCACATTTCTTAACTAGAATTTTCCCGTTCGAAACCCATATGTATTTGTAAATTCCTTGGTGCTGTTTCTTAATACACCATAGTAGGGCTCGCGTTGTCTTGGTCAAGTCTTTTTTGTAGACTTTGTTCAAAGCCGAACCATTTGTAATCATATTACTCATCGTTTCTGATAAGTTGCGACATTGGGCAAGCCAGCTGTCCCTCGACCTGGTACTTTTAGTCTTAAAGCCCTCGATAATGGACGCTGGTTTGGTGCTTTCTTTTGGTGATCGAGTATATCTAGCCCATTCTATATCCGAACTACTCACATTGATAATATCTCCTATTTTTGAGACAATCTCTGTGACATTTATAGTATTTTTGGATTTAAAGAAAGCTTTTGATACGGTTTCCGTACCTATAATGCTAAAAGACTAGAAAGCATTGGTTTAAGGGGTAAAACTCTCTCTCTCTTTGGTAGCTACCTTAGAAACAGAAAACTGTCGGTAAAAATTGGAAAAACTGTAAGTAAAACTGTAACTGTCAACTATGGAGTCCCCCAACAAAGTGTGAGGGCCTAACTCTGTTTTTGATATACATTAATGTACTGTGTATTATGAAACTTTATAATGGGCAGATTTTTTCCTATGCAGATGACACAGCTATTGTATTTACAGGAGATACATGGGACTCTGTAAGGAAAACAGCAGAATTATGTCTTGCTAGAATGGTGAATTGGCTCAATCAGAATCTACTCACTTTGAATATATCCAAAACTAAATATATTTCCTTTACCATGTACAACAGCTCTCAACCTACACCTGATTTTCAAATTAAAATTCACAAATGCTCTGTCGTCCAAAGCTCCAGTTGTAACTGCTCTCAAATAAATAAAGTCTCTAATATAAAGTATCTAGGAGTAATGGTTGACCAAAGACTGTCTTGGTATTCACACTTAGAATTAATGGCAACTAGGCTCAGGAAACTTATTTGGATATTTAAGTCATGACGTCATGTATCCACGAAGTCCTTACTTCTGCTTCCGGTCGTCTATGAGTCAGATAGAGTAGAAGATTAGAACTAGAACGCTTAAACTTTATAACCAAGCAAAATTAGTGATCTAATCAGCTGGTGGTCCTCAAGGTATCTTATGATCTGGCAGTTTATAATGGATTCCATTATTTTGTAGAAAAAGAAGAGATGGTGATAAATCTGTAGTAGTACGAGTCTGAGGAGTCGACTTTTTAGGGATCGGATGTACTAAAGCTGCCTTCCATAAGTTCGAAATTACGCCTAGGAGTAGGAGTACCGGAAAAGACGCGTTAGAACCGGTGTTTTTTCCGGAGAACCTGTCTTCAGCACAGAGACTCTATCAGGTCCACTTGACTTGTTGACGTGAACGGGGAGGAGTGATTTGCACACTGGGTGCTGTGTAAACCGCACATCCAGCATGGAGCAATCTCACCGCGGGATGGTTGGTGGTGTGTACTATACATCATCAAGATTCAAGTTGGACTCAAAAAAAGACCTAAAAGATCGACTTTGTCTTTTGCGGCATGGGCCAGTAAGTCGTTCTCCCTGTGCCAAGATAGAACTGATGGCTGACAGAAGTTCCCTTGGACAGCCTTCATAAAATTAGAAGTAGAGAAGAGAGCTTGAGCAGTTTAAAATCTGAATCACGTCTAGTCAGTCGACGAAAAACCAAAGATACCAAATAATTCAATGGCTTATTTTTACAATAAATTTATTGATTTGGTATGTCTATTCAATTATATCATTTAAAATCGGTTCACAACCGACGAATATTGCGTATAATAAATGCGTATAAATATTAAAAAAATAGTCACATTGAGAACCTTCTTTTTTGAAGTCTGTTAAAAATTAAAAAAATACCTTCACTAATACTAGGCCTCACAGGTCTATCTGGACTTTGAGTTTTTCCAAGCATTTTTGAAAATTCTGGACATCTATCTTTAAAATAAGATCCCATGGACATATTTGAATTACTGTCTCTGTAATTTATAAAAAAAACATGCGTTAAATCAATATAATGTAATAAAACAAACTGACAATGTTTCATTCATATAATTTTAAATAATATTGTTATGTTTGTATAAAGTTATTGCACATACATATGAGGAGCACAGAACTCTTCTCATTTCTGAGAGGATAATGAAGCTATGCTGCTCCAGGGCGTGTTGACGGACTGCACATGTTCTAGAAATATTTTATTCCTTACACATGCAGGTTAGTTCCTATGTTTTTTTTTTCACCACAAAGCACATGGTATATAAACACTTAAAACTGCAATTAACAATTTTGTTGGTGCCGGCGCCAATCAAATTCAGGTTGCATTTAAACTGTGAAATATATAGAGAGTGCTTATCCCGTGAGCATTAGTTTTTAAATAATAGTTTTAACTTTACAATGTTCAGATTCAAAATACAGATTTTAGTCCTCAGTACCCCGAGGACTAAGATTGAATGCTTCAAATCCAATAGAGGGTCTTTGGTTCTTTACACTCACCACATGAAACACAGCAGCATTAAGCTGTTATTTTACACTGGTATACTATGAGAACATGGTCCTTTCCCAGTCAAGCCAATGCATTCATGCTACAACCATAACATAGGTGGCAGGTTGGCTCTACCATGTTAAAATATCTACCACGTAAAAGATCTTCCTAGTTACCAGTCCATGGACAACCTGGAGCTGTTAATATTTGGCTATCTGTTTATAAAGAGGCTGTCAAGGAAATCAATGTCAAGTCGAAAAGGGCAATATGCCAAGTCATGACAGATATCAGAAAAATATAGAAAAAATCTTGGTCATGTACTTTTCAAATTATAGGGATTTTAAAAATAACTTGCAAAAATGGCTTGACGTTGATTTCAGGCACACGTGATATATACATACTCTAGCAGTAGCAACATTAGTGCAAATCATAAATTGTTAATTAATGGATCTGGTTGTGATGAGATTGTTCCAGTGTCTCTAAAATGACATCCACACTCTGACTTTCGACTTCTTTGCATAAGCATTTATGGGGAATGGGTATATTAGAACAAGTGAGTGCCTCTGTATTTGCTAGTAACTGTTTACAAATAGCTCAGGGATAGAGAGCTCGCTTTGAATTTCTTAGTAAGCCAGCAGCCTGAGTTCATACCTCTTTCAACAGCCACTACTGCAATTGTTAACCTTTTTTTAAGTGCAGATATTATGTAACATGCTCATTGGCAAAGCAAAACAATCTAAGGTAAAGACTGTAAAGAATATATCATTGGAAAAGACACCCGATACTGTAATCATCAAACTGCCTGCCATGTGGTGAATATGGTAAATAATTCCTACAATGGAAGACATCTAATTTAGGTCAGTAGCACATAGAAATTACTAATAAAGAAGTATAATTGTTAATTATCTGATATAGTATTAAAAATATACTGAGATTTATGCAGTGGATTATAGTAAGACTTACAAAACATTTTCTGTTGTGATGTTCACCTGTGTGCCTTGTTGCACTGGCAAAGGTGCTTGCCTGATGATAAGAGATGCTTCATCAGCTGTTAAGTCTCTCTGTAAGATATAACAAAAATTTCATTCTACAAGGCATCTGATTACAGAGCACTGCACTAAGATACTCAATTGCAGGCTTTGTATTCATGTGTTCTCATTGCAAATAACAAAACTAGGAATTATTAGAAAGTCCCACTAGGATTTTGGCTAGTTCTTGTTTAGTTAGACAGATGTTTTTTTCTCAACCAATGGGTAAAGCATTTTTTTCAATAAATATTATTTGTAATCTAAATTGAATAAAAATTGTAGTATAGTGAGAAAAATTATTATTATATTCTGTTCAACATGCTAACAAGTACTTTCTTGAAAAGGCTTATGGATAATCTAACAGTAGATTTCTATTGCTGATTCATATCATTTTATGTAAAAAATAATTTTAGTATAACAAAAATAATCACTTGGTTCTAACAAATCACTTGAGTCACACTACAGTGTGCAAAATTCGAAGTCAATTTGTCATGCGAATGGAAAAAGTCAACCAGGTTAAAGGAACAAGCTAATATTAGTAAGCTGCAATAAATATACTGTAAAGGACTGGCACTAGCATAATGACATAATAAATGAATAATTAAACATGTATAAAGAAGAACAGCTTTGAAAAATATGATATCTACAAAGTGGGCTGTGGAATTTAGATTAGTAGTTATCAGGAAGGTGCTGCTGCACATCTACCGCTTCAGTTTCCCTTTATTGTCTCTTACAACACATACAAAATGATATGGGGTAGCTACTACATGGTGATCTCCAGTTAACTAAAAAATTACATGTATATCAGAATGCTCTTCTAACTACAATATATACTATATACTACATCATATGAGAAAGAGATTTGACAAAATTAACTACACACTAACTAACACTAACTTAAGATTATATACCTAATTTACTCACCTTAGAATGAAATGAATAATTAGTTGCAATTGAATGCCTCATAATATCATTAACTTCCAAAGTCTGTTTGTCTAAATTACTTGTAAGACTTTCCAGAGCAAATGAATGCCGTCCATAGCCCTCAAACATATCATCAATCTTAGCTGGACCCAAGTTAATAGTGTGTGACTTTATGTCCTCGGTACCTGTTGATCTTCCAGTCATTTCCCCAGGACTAAACGCAGTCTGGATAAAAACACATTAATTATAAGATATTTTTTTATGAGTTAGAAAAAGTACATTCCACCACGTAGTGAGTAAATACTTTGGCCCTATAACACTTACATTTATTCTCTATTAAATTCAAAACAACCTTGAGAGCTAAGATGGAATGCCTTGTTACCAGTAAACGAGTCTCCAGGTCTCATCACTCACCATATTATGAAACATTGTGTTTTTATTTAAATACTGGCATTGTGATTATGGTGCTGACTGTAATTATATTTGTCACTTCACTTTTAAAAAACAATGCAGGAACCAAACCATTAGCAATGAAACACAAAACTAATGGACAAAAACAACAAATCCTAAAAACTTTTAGCGTGTTAATACTAAAGAAAAATTGATAATGACTATATTATAAATATACTTACAGATTTACTTAAGGACATGGCTCCAATAGCAGTCTCTCCAAACCCTAGGACATAAAAACTTAATTTATTTATTTTCTATTTAAAATATTATTTTTTTAGAAAATTGTATACAACTCACCCTCAACTCTTTCTAAGTCCAGAATTCCAGACGAAGACTCGAAATGAATATTAGACTTGTTCAATATCCCTTCTTGCGCATCCGAGCTAATGAAACAAAGTACTAAGTTATAATCAAATATTATGAGTGAACTTACAAATTTAGAATAATATATTTTAGAAAACTTGCCGTTTCATCTCCTCTTCTCTGAGGGGCAACTCCTTTTTTGCGCTAAAGGACTGGTCTTCAGCGTATTGTAACAACCTCGATATTTTTTTAGGTGTTAATGCAGGATTGTTCATTTTAAAAACCTATGTTTTCTGATAAACAAGTTCAATAAACACTATATAAAAACCAAGGAAAATCTTTTTATTTTTTGACATGAAAAACAAAATCGAGTGTTCTTTTTATTTTTCCCTTTTTCATGCTAGCACTTCACAGTTAATTGTGTTGTGTTACTCACGGAATAATAAAACAATGTAATAGAAATAAGATTAGGGTTTATTTGTTCTTATATCTCACTTTCATTTCGTAATCCGCTAGAAGAATAGTTGTGTGTTCGTTACATTATAAGTTTTTGAATCAATGTTGCTAAAGAGTATATAATCACTACGTTTTAACACTCATATTAGTCTGTGGTCACATATTACTTTGTAGTTGCCACAGAGTACATTTGATTAAAGTAACCTCTTGCGCACGTATTACTGTACTGTTCTCCTGCCGTTGCGTCGCCGAATCATTATTTAAACAAAATGTAAATGCGTGTACAAAGAATTTTACATTTCATAAAGTATCATCAAAAGATATTGTAAAACATTTTAAAACTATTGATGTTAAGGAAACTGCGGATCTGTGGGGGATTTCCGTTATAGTTATTGCGTCTATAATAGATACAATCGCGCCTCATTTAGCTATTATTTTTAATACTAGTGTCGAATCTGGTGTGTTTCCTGATTTAATGAAGCATAGTAAAGTAATACCTTTATTTAAATCTGGTAGTACATTAGAACCCGCCAATTTTAGACCTATTTTTGTACTACCAACACTTAGAAAGATTTTTGAAAAAAATATTCTTGAAAAAATGTTAAATTTCTTTAATATAAATAACTTACTTCATAAAAATAAATTTGGTTTCACAAGGGGTCGCTCGACAACTGATGCCGGTGTTGAGCTGATTAAATATATCTTTAATGCATGGGAGAATTCACAGGATGCTTTGAGTATATTTTATTACCTATCCAAGGCCTTCGATTATGTTCACCATGAAACATTAATCAGGAAACTTCAACACCACGGTGTAAGAATATATGCTCTTAAATTAATTATTTCATATTTAAGTAAGAGAACGCAATAAGTTGTCTAAATAAACTCTTCCAGGTCGATGGTACCTCAAGGCTCAATTCTCGGCCCCTTTCTGTTTCTTGTATACATTAATGACTTACCTTACATAGTACGAGATAACCATGATATAGTATTGTTACGAGCTTGGGGTTCGAGACAATTAAAAACTGCCGATTGAATTACCAAAATTGACACTTTAATTACACAACACTAATTACAATCTAAAATCACACTAATAATAAAACACATAACATAACATACATAACATAAACACTCACGCCTGTCACCCAGAGGGGTAGACAGAGATTATGGACTTCCATTTGGCACGATCCTGACACACCTCTCTCGCTTCCTCCACATCCATATACCTACGCATACACGCTCGTCGGTTAAAGGTACTCTTGATTTGGCCCATTTTTAATATATCGCCAATTTGGTCGATAAACTTTCGCCTAGGGCGACCCTTCCCGACTATGCCGTTCACCTCTGCAACATAAATTTGCTTTGTCACTCTTTCCTCATTCATTCTTTCTACATGGCCAAACCACCGAAGCATTCCTTTCTTAATCCTGGTCACAACATCATCTTGCAAACCACACTCTTCTCGTATTAAACAATTTCTCACTCTGTCATTCAGCTTCATCCCTAACATACTCCTTAATGACCGCATTTCTACAGCATTTATCCTACTCTCATGCTTCTTCTGCCACACCCAACTTTCACTACCATACATTAAAGTAGGTACTAACACAGCATTGTGAATTGCCATACGTGCCTTTTTGGACACATTCTGACTTTTCACAATAGAGTGTAGAGCCCCATTCACTCTATTTCCTGCATTCACTCGTCGTTCTATATCCTTATCATATTTACCATCCCTGCTAAACACACATCCCAAATATACAAACTCATCTACTTGCTCTACCAACTCCCCTTCTATTCTTATTTCACATATCGTTTTACTTTCTTCTCTTTCAAAAACCATAACTTTCGTCTTACTTGCGTTCACTTTCATTCCCTTTTCTTTTAATGTCCTGTTCATTAATGTAACCATCATTTGCAACTCGGCTACCGACGATGCAAGTATGACTTGATCATCGGCGTACAAAAGGCATTTGACGGTTAACTCACCCATTCTTAACCCGCATTCTTTTACTTTCAAATTTTCCAAACAACTGTCCATAAATAGGTTGAACAACCACGGGGAAGCCACACAGCCCTGTCTGACACCTTTATGGATGTCAAACCAGTCCGAGTAGGCCCCGTTGATCCTGACACAAGCACTAGAGTCGCTATATAGAGACTTCAATGCCTGTATCAGACCAGCGCTCAACCCAAATGAGTTCAGTGTTTGCCATAACACATTCCTGTCCACTCTGTCATAAGCCTTCTCCAAGTCCATGAACGCACAAAAAACTTTTTGGTTTTTGGCCAAAAACTTCTCGGCGATCATGCGCATGGAAAAGACCTGATCCGTACATCCCATTCCCTTTCTAAATCCCGCTTGCACATCCCAAATTTTTCCGTCAGTTTCTTTCATAACTCTTTCAATTAGTACCTTAGCATACAGTTTTCCCACAATGCTAAGAAGGCTGATACCACGGTAGTTTTACAGTCCTGCTGTGATCCTTTTCCCTTATATATTAGGACTATCACGGCTTTGCACCAATCTCCCGGTACCCGCTTAAGTTCCCAACATAAATTAAACAAGGTGTACAGCAGGTCTGCCACCACTCCTTCTCCAGCCCTTAGCATTTCGAGAGATACTCTATCATAACCGGCTGCCTTACCTGCTTTCATACTTTTCATTGCTTTCATTATTTCATCTATACTTATACCTCTATCTATTTCCTCTTCTTTCGGAATTTCTATTTCATTTAATTCAAACGTCTCATCACTCATAAACACGCTTTCAAAGTATTCTTTCCATCTCCTTAAACTCAAAACTTCGTCATTCAGAATACAGCCATTCTGGTCTCGTATAGCATTCATTCTAGGCTGTTGTGAATGTCCCCTGGTAGTTCTTACGAGTTTCCAGAACATTTTAATGTTTGCCTGGAAGTTATCCGATATTCTTCTATCATTCTTATCCGTTCTTTCTTGCTTTTTCCTTTCAACTACTTCTTTTACTCTCTTATTTAGGTGTCTAAAAACTGCCTTTTTCCTTTCAATATCATCATTCATACTGCTAGAATTACTAGCTTTGGTTGCTAGTAAATCTAGCCATGCTTTCTTCTTTGCTTCAACTTCCATCCGTACCTCATCATCCCACCATAACGTGTTATTTTTCCTTTCATTCGTTCTCTTACTTACACCACATACTTCGGTAGCTGCATCCACTAAACCTTTCTTGACATTATACCACACAGTCTCCAAGTCTAAATCATTCATACACAATTCAGCCATACCACTTATATTTTCTCTCAATCTACATTTGAACTTCTCTTTCACACCTTCATCTTGTAACCTCTCTGTTCTTATACGCTGTAACGCTGTGGTAGACACAGATGTCCAATGCCTCCAACGTCTGAAAAGACCATTAATTCGGCATAAGACCAAGTAATGATCCGTCCCTACGTTAGAACCCCGGTAAACCCTTGTATCTACCACCGCGCTCCTCATTCTTTCATCAACAATTATGAAATCTATTATACTTCTATCATCACCTCTTTCCCATGTATACGTGTGAATCTTCTTATGACGAAAGAAAGTGTTCGTCACAACAAGATTCTTTTCCACGCATACGGCGAGAAGGCTTTCACCATTCTCATTTATACTTTCATCACCAAACGTTCCCAATATCCTTTCATAACCAAGCCTCCTCACCCCAACTCTTCCATTAAAATCGCCTAATATCACAATATTTTCATTAACCTTGCATTTCATTAGCACCATCCTTACCAACTCCCAAAACTGCTCTCGGATATAAGTGGGCTTAGACATGTCTGGGGCGTAGACCCCTAAAACAAACAACTTCTTTAAGCCCACTTTCATTCGTATCCATAGCAGTCTCGGGCTTACACATTCATACTCTTTTACACAATGACCCATTCTTTCTGAAAGGATGATACCGACTCCCTGGCATGCCCGCTCGGTCTCGTCTACACCAGACCAGTACGCGGTATACATGCCATGTGTAGTGGCATCCTTTCCCTTCCGTTTCGTCTCATTCACATATAACACGTCTATTCCTCTATCATACATCATATCGCATACTTCATCCATCTTATCATTCATTCCTCCACATACATTCAATGTAGCCAGACGGGCTTCCGCAATCCACTTTTCGCTCCTCCGGGGGACAGAACGTGACGGGTGGCGAACCTCGTCGCCGTGACGGGTGGCGAACCCCGTCGCCGTAATAAAACACAGTTCGCCGTTATTTCGCTTCGAAGTATTCTCTTGTATCGCCAATTCAATACTGCCTCGGTCGTGATCTATACCGGCCTTATGTAGGGCCTCAGATAGTTTCCAGAATCTTTTACTGTAGCGACATCTAGAATGTTCGAGTACATATCGGTCCCGAAATTTCTGGAAGGATCTTGACTCTCCTAGTTCTGCTACTCGACACTAGAGGGCGCTAGTGTAACTAGTGTTGCCATGTACAAGACATTAATAGTGGCGCGCAACACTTTCTTTTACTCGACACTAGAGGGCGCTAGTGTAACTAGTGTTGCCATGTACAAGACATTAATAGTGGCGCGCAACACTGCCCCCTCCTAAGACATGCTCGTCCCAAGCATTATTGGCCCCATAATAACGCGCCAGTCGATCCACATGGACAAACTTAGGAGTACCTCTGGCACCTTTCTGTATCCGGTAGGTTACGTCATTGATCCTTATCACAATCCGGTACGGTCCGTCTCATTTAGCTTGAAGCTTAGGAGATTTCCCTTTGCTGCGAACTGGATTGTGTAACCACACTAGTGAACCTTCATCAAACCCCTTGTTGTTCATTTTGCGGTCATACCGTGTTTTCATCTTCTCAGACGTTTGCTGGCCCGTCTGTCTGACGTGCTCATAAATGTCATTCATTTTGTTCCGCAAGTCATTTGCATAATCGGTTATACTGCGTGGGGCATCAGGTGGTATTCCGGTGATCAGGTCTGCAGGCAGCCGTAATTCTCTCCTAAAGTTTGCGAAAGCTGGCGTCACTGATGTACTTTCGTGAACAGCGCTTCGATATGACAACAAAAACGGTTGTATGT